GGGTAAATAAAATAAATATTGAAGTGTGATCGCATAATTCATGCATATATAGAGTATATCTATACAATAATTTAAACAATAGATACTTTTTTAAATATTCAAAAAAAAAAAACAATAAAAATATTCCATTTCTTACAAAAAAAATTGGGGCTTGTAAATATCATATTTAAAATATTTCAAACAATGTATTAGTGATTTATTTACAGAAGACCTACGCTCGATAAATATTTATTCTATTTCTAGAACTTATTTCCTTGAATAACTTGACAAATAATCACAATGAATTAGCAACAGCATAAGCAGTCTAATAGAATAATATTTTAAACTGCCTACACCAGGGGTTGGCAAATATTTAGGTCGAAAAGTCAAAAATTACAATTTACAGAATTTAAAGGTTTTTAAATACAAAAAAATATTAATATTGGTAAAATAATACTATGCAAATATTGAATACATGACAATATTATCTAAAAATAGAACCATGGAACATAATAGTTCAACTCAATCTATCCCATTGATACTCAGTTAAACTAAAACTCTTGTTTTTAGACTATTAGTTATCTAGGATAATAGTTAGTTTCAAGAGCCACCAAATATTTTCTTGCCAACATTAAATAGTACTCGCATAAATAATATTTACGTATGGAACTATATAAAGAGCTTCACATCCAAAGAGCCGCATGTGACTCGCTAGCTGCTGTTTGCCGACCCCTAACCTACACCTATGGGAATGGCCATCACTGATGTTGTGTGACCCAAAGCCCATATAATAACTTTATTATATCAGTATGGAATTGGTTTAATTGGAAATGTAGGACTCAAATGGTTGAATAATACCTACACAAAGCATGTCTATCTACACTAGAAATGGTCTCCACAGATAAAAACCTGATCCATCAAAAGGCTACCAAACTTACTGGGCCAAAGAGCCGAGAGAAAAGTAAATCCCTAAAAAATAACCTTTCCCAATAAATCAAAGTTATCTATTTGAGCTCAATATTTCAAAGAAAGTTGGAAATTAATAATTAAAATAAGAGTTGGGGAGGACTTTTGGAGCTATTTGTATTTGTTTATTTCTTCAGCGTCAGTTAAAAATAACTTTATTAGGCAATTCCTAAAAAAAAACAATCCGGGTCTCAATATTTATAGCTTTTATAGAGCGAGCCTTCAGGTTTACAGATTTATTTTAGGGTCAGTACCTTTTGTTACAGAAACTCAGGTCCTTGGAAATTTTGCTCTTGACTTTGAAGTTGTTTTCCTTTCTTGTTGAGTTTTTTAAAAATATTTCCTTTTTCCTCTATTCTTGTCGTTTTTACTCAGTTGATAAGCATTGGGTTTATACTTGGGTTTCTTATTTTATTTAGAATCTGTTGTTGTAAATATGTAAGTAGTGTTTTCTAGTTTTTAAGGCTTCTCATTAAAGTTGAATGTTTATCTAATATAATATGCACCTTAATAAAATTTTATTATTTATTTATCATTCATGTGTGTGATGTTTTTATAATATACCATCAAATATAATTACCTCTTCAGACCTTACTGCAATGATTAGAAATTATTAGAGATATGAGACAAATTCTCTCATTCCTAATAATTTCTATCATTGAAGTAAGGTATGCTACAGAGATATTCTATATATACAAGTATCAGAGTCAAGAGTCATCAATCAATTCTGTCACTGTTTGCTTTTGTGAATGGAATAAATACCCAAATATGGCCATTTCTTTTAAGCATCGGTGGTTCAGTGGTAGAATGCTGGCCTGCCACGCGGTCGGCCCGGGTTCGATTCCCGGCCGATGCATTATTTTTTACAATTTTTAAAACTCATTTATATTATTATTATTAAAATATACAAGTATCAGAGTCATCAATTCTGTCATCGTTTGCTTTTGTGAATGGAATGCTTTTACGTAATATACGTGAAATGCGTAACTAATATGACTGAAATTTTAGCAGTATGTATAGTTGAATCTGGAAAAACTTATATTGAATATTTCAGGTCTCTATCCCGAATATTCTTCGAGTTATTTCCAAATTTGAGTTGCAAATTTGCTCTTTCGCTCGCAAGCAGCGTCTCTATCGGTGAAGATGGGAGGTAATATCAGCTGACCTAATGTACATGTAAAACGTGTTTTAACAGGACATAGAAAAAAATATGGGAGAGATATTTGTCGCATTTTTAGCCAATAAAAATTGAAATTGACAGGTTCTGAGCAAAAATAGTTGTTGTTTTTTTTAGTCAGAAAATTATTATGACAATATTGCTGTATCATATTTGATTATCAGATACAAAATTATATATGGAAAAATTCCAAAAAGCAGAGACCACAGGTGAAGCCAGTTCATTTTTAGTATGCAGGAACAAAATTCTAATAGAAAAACATTCATTCGAGCAGAAAACACAAAGTCAGATCATCTCTTTATAAAAATATCGCTTCTCAGACACAAAGTTTGGAGCGGGACGTTTCACAAGAATGACATCCACGGCGCCAATTTATAATTGTAACGAATAGTATTTGAATAAAAACATTTAATCGGGTAAAACCTGGGCGTTGCCCGGGTCATTCTGCTAGTAATTTTTGATTTCAATTGCCATCTATCGTAAAATTTGTATAAAATAAATTTACTGACAATGTGTTTCTTTCAACAATAGCATCAAATATTACCTCTAAAGGCCTTACTGCAATGATATAAGTTATTGAATGAGAGAGCTTGGCTTCATCAGTAGTGAACTCTCTCAGCGGTTTCGCCAAATTAATCTCCAGACCGCTCTACTATTGTATTGTATTGGTTGGGGATATACCCTGCTATTTTTTCTATGGAAGGCAGCTAAGTGGTGTTTAGTGAACCTATGGACATAGGTTTATAGGTCTGTAGAGGTAAATACATATAATATTGAGGTATTGCATCGAACAAAGCTCTTCCGCAAATATGATTTAATAAAAAATATATATTAGTAAATTAAATTTATAAATTCAATTGCCATCTATTGTTAAAATTTGTAACAAATAGATTCACTGGCTATGTGTTTCTTTTCAACAATTTACAATTTCCAACATCCCTTAGCTGCTTTTCATTAAAAAAATGCATGGTATATCCTAAACCAATATAATAGTAGAGCGGTCTAGAGATTAATTTGGCGAAACCGCTGAGAGTGTTCACTACTGATGAGCCAAACCCTCTCATTCAATAATTTATATAATTACAGTAAAGTCTGTAAATATAATATTTGATAATATTGTTTAAAAGAAACACATTGCCAATAAATGTATTTGTTACAAATTTTAGAGATAATAATATTTGAAGATATATTATGAGAAACTTAGATACCAAATAAAAAATTGGAGAATTCTATTGAAAGATGGCATATAAAATTATAGGTATAAATAATTCAACCTATATACATTATATATATATTATTTAATGTAAAAAAATGTAAATATTTTTTATTTTTTAAAAACAAATATTCTATTGATTGTTCTACATTTTTTTTACCATAAATTTAAAATATACCACTTTGTATATTATTGTAAATATGTATAGGTAACCTACCTATTTTTTTCAATTAACTAATATAAGATTCATTTTATGAAATCTATATAATTGTGTCAAATATTTAATGTATGATTGCTTCAAGTAATTGAAAATAAAAACTACTTGCTAAGTAAATAACTATCTTTCCTATTTTCACGACTGCACCTTCAATTATTTATATTTTCAACAAAACATTATATTCATAGCATTATATAATTATAGACATAAAGTTCAACTGCGTCTATATATTTTTAAATGGATAAAAAATAATTAAACTTTTAAGAAATGTGTATATATATATATGATGCACTAGCGCGCCATCTGTTATCAAAATTCGAAACTATCTTAATCGCGTAAGATTCTTTTTGAAATTAAACAATTTCTACTGCCCTTACTGCAATGGAACTTTTATTAAAATTTAATTAAACTGGCGAATCCGCTGGGAGGGTTCACCACTGATGAGCCAGACCCTCCCTTTAATTTTTCCATTGCAGTAAAGGCAGTAGAAATTGTTTAATATCAAAAAGAATCTTACGCGTTTAAAATAGTTTCGAATTTTGATATATTATATATATATCTTGTATAATATCATTTAGGGAAAAAAATTCCTGAATGAATTTTTATATTTAAAGAAATATTGTGTATTTTTAAATTATAAAATTATAGTTGGAATGGAGATAGAGAATCGTAGTGTTTATATATATATATAAGCAATATATATATATTATTTCTTGGTTTTTCAGGAAGCCATTGGGATCAAAAATTATTTTTTGGTCGCAATGGTTCAGCCTACTCCACGCTGACGAGCGCCAAAAGCGCGAAACGCGTTCGTGGATGGCTTTTCTTGATTTATCAAGAAATTGGGTTGGCCAAATATCAGGGAACAGGCTAAATCAATGAATAGTTGATTTCTGTTCCACCAGATGGCGCTCTGCCTTCTGAAAAGCACATGTGCTCCTGGTCAGGATATGCCATTTTTAATATTGATTTCAACACCTGATCTTTTTATCTTTTATTTTTTTCTTTCGTTTTTTTAATGTGCTAAGCGTATTTACGCAAGTTTGGCCTTAAATACCCATTTCTTGGTTTTTCAGGAAGCCATTGGGATCAAAAATTATTTTTTGGCCGCAATGGTTCAGCCTACTCCACGCTGACGAGCGCCAAAAGCGCGAAACGCGTTCGTGGATGGCTTTTCTTGATTTATCAAGAAGTTGGGTTGGCCAAATATCAGGGAACAGGCTAAATCAATGAATAGTTGATTTCTGTTCCACCAGATGGCGCTCTGCCTTCTGAAAAGCACATGTGCTCCTGGTCAGGATATGCCATTTTTAATATATATATATATTGCTTAACCCTAAGTACACGTGGTGCAGGCCATTATAATTAAGGTAGGTAGAAGTAGGCGACTGCTTTTACCGTAAGTGCATCAGATGTCTACACATGTGAAAAGCAGTTCGAAAGTTAATAGCCTACAGCCCCCGGTGTTCCCAGGTGGTGACCTTCCCAAGTACTGACCAGACCCGGTATTGCTTAACTTCGGTGATCGGACGAGAACCGGTGATATGGCCGTAGGCGTTTATATTTGTACTAGACGAATGGCCCGGGCAACGCCCGGGTTTTACCCGAGTGCGTATATATTTTAAAAACGTTTTAATTCAATTCAATAGTAGGCTATAGGCTCACCAGTCTATAAAGTGACCGCTATAGACAGGGTGGTCTGTATAGACAGGTGAATGTAACACACTGATGTTAACAGGGTTGCCTAAAGTGACCGCTATAGACAGGGTGGTCTGTATAGACAGGTGGATGTATCACACAGCTGATAACAGGGTTGTCTAGAGTGGCCGCTATAGACAGGTGTATGTATCACACAGCTGATAACAGGGTTATCTAGAATGGCCGCTATATACAGGGTGGTCTGTATAGACAGGTGGATGTATCACACAGCTGATAACAGGGTTGTCTAGAGTGGTCGCTATAGACAGGGTGGTCTGTATAGACAGGTGTATGTATCACACAGCTGATAACAGGGTTGTCTAGAGTGGCCGCTATAGACAGAGTGGTCTGTATAGACAGGTGGATGTAACACACTGCTGATTACAGGGTTGCCTAAAGTGACCGCTATAGACAGGGTGGTCTGTATAGACAGGTGGATGTAACACACTGCTGATAACAGGGTTGTCTAGAATGGCCGCTATAGACAGGTGTATGTATCACACAGCTGATAACAGGGTTGTCTAGAAGGGGGCAGGGAGATCACGTGTTCGCCGGCAGCCAATGAGCGCGCATTCTATCCGTGAGCTTCAGACAGACAAAATAAGGCAATTATATATATAGATAAATGTGGTATCTGTGTTATTCGCTTGCTGGAAGGTTCTCTACTAACACGTGACCAAAATCAACCAATGTTTATAAATAAAAAACGAGTTCTCTTTTCTGTTTATAGAAAATATTTATACACTGCATTAGCACCCCATCTGTTAACACAAAGCAATAACGCGCCATCTATATATATAAAATAAAAGGATTTAAAAGCGCGAATGTTTCTTTTATACATAAAACGAGTAGTAAGGACAGTAGAAGTTCGTTTTATGTATAAAAGAAACATTCGCGCTTTTAAATCCTTTTATTTTATACTCCATCTGCTATAGGAAATTTGAACTATTTCTTACGCGTATGATTCTTTTAATAATAAATCAATTATCTACTGCCCTTACTGCAATGATAAAATAATGGGAGGGCCTGGCTCATCAGTGGTGAACCATAGCATCAGTATCATTATAAAAGGAAAACCGAAAATGCAATATTACAGCGGTATAATAGATTAAACAGGCGAAACCACTGGGAGGGTTCACCACTGGCCAAATTGTATAAATTCTATTTTTTTTGTATAAATTGTAAATTATTGTATAAATTTGTATAGACAAATGTAAAGACATACATCATTTTTTCACTGCTCTTACTGCAATGATAAAATAATGTGGAAGCCTAGCTTATCGCTAATACTGTATTGGACGATTCTGCTTATATACGCAGCACTGTAGGGTGGAATCTCAGAAATGGTTTTCAAGAAAACTATGGACATAAACTTAGAGGACAGTAGAAATTTGTATTGTGAATAAAGTAAACATCTATGCTTAAATCCTTTCATTTTATATGTAAAGATGGCGCGTTAATGCTTTGTGTTAATATATGGTTGTTATTAAATCCCCCTAATAATATTAAAATGACATATATAAAATATCATCAACGATTAGTTAAAATTTAGCCGATAGATGGCGCTCGCCATCAGCAACTTTCAGCTTCACGACCGGAAAATGTATGTTACTTAATTTAACCATTTAATCTAGATAAAAATTACACTTCTGCAATATGGTTTTAATAAAAGAGAGGTTTATTTTTATAATATAGATAGATGCGGTAAATGTGTTGCTGAGATCGTGTAAGTCAGCTGGGGTGAAACAATTAGAACCCGAATCTGTCTAACAAACAGGTTCCAGTCCCAATTAAGAATATACCAAGTTTAATTAATCTCTGGGTAGTGTGTTCATTACTCGAGGTATATAATGAGCACGCTGCTCTGTGGTATTACAGTGTTATACACGATGTTACTTATTATAACAAGTTATATGAGAAAGAGTCCTTCTATAATATTAGAGATGTAAAATGCGACACAACAATTAGAGTGTTCGTAAAGTCATTTTTAAGTTTAAAATTGACAGAAGTTGACACAAACACACACAAAGCTTTATTAAGACCAACGGTCTTATACAGATTCACCACAGGAAGAAAGGAATCATCGATGGAACTCCTGTACTCCAGGCAGCGTAGCACCCTACAAGAGCCTCCAGGTCCAACGCATGTCCAATGGCCACACGTTCCTTCGTGCATACGTCATGGTTAGCGAATGGTTGAACAGGCTAGTGTGGAATCAGCTGCGTTCCTCGCTTTTTTTCGCTTTCCTCGTCCTGTAAGAAAATCAGAGGTTGGATCTCAGAAAGTATGTTTAATTATCAAATAGATTATATTTAGATGACAAACAATAGAGAGTTAAAAGAAGAAGGTAAGCCCAGTGAGTCAACAAGCAAAACTGAAACCTATATACAGGAACGCCGGCAGTCGGCGCCAGGTCACGTGATGTCTGGGGGAAGTGGCCGTTGTTGCTATGGGTGCGACGTTACTTTCCAATACTCCCACCTAACGTGCACTCCGTTGTTTCAAACAGTCCAAGTTGGCTTCTTAGTCTTCTATACCTTTCTGGAGGTAGAGCTGTCGTAAATATGTCTGCAGCTTGATCAATGGAGCAGACATAAAGAAGGTCAATTGCATGGTTTTGAAAATGATCTCTGATAAAGTGATACGAAATATCAATATGTTTAGTTCTTTTGTGGTATTCTGGGTTGTGAACAAGTCTTATGCAGCTTTGATTGTCGCAAAAAATTGTTGTAGGCTTTACTTGTTCTTGATGTAGCTCGCGTAGAAGATGTCTCAGCCAAATTGCTTCTTTTGTTGCTTTGGAAGCCGCAATATATTCAGATTCTGTTGTTGACAGAGACACACAATTCTGTTTTTGACTGCACCAAGAAATAGGTCCATTATTCAACATGAACACATATCCGGTGGTTGATTTTCTTGTGTCGAGGTCTCCAGCAAAATCAGCATCGGAAAAACCTATCAGGGTTGAAGTGCAGGAACTCCCACCAAAACAAATACCGATGTTTTTCGTAGCTTTTAAGTATCCAAATATTTTCTTTACTGCGGTCCAATGTGAAGGTCCTGGGTTGTTCATAAATTGGCTAACCCTGCTGACTGCGTAGGCAATATCAGGTCTAGTTCCAGTCATGAGGTACATTAAACTACCAATTGTCTGTCTGTATGGAATCTTGTTCATTTCTTCAATTTCCTGATCATCCTTTGGGCACATCTCTTTTGTTAGTTTTGAGTAAGGATCAGAAGGTACAGATTGTAACTTAATATCAAGAAGGTTGTAATGTTCAAGTGTTCTTTCAATGTATGAGGCTTGATGCAGAAATAACATTTTAGTTGTTCTATCTCGATATATTTGTAGGCCAAGGAAATAATCGGCAGTAAAAGTTTTTATTTCAAAATTGGAATTTAAGTACTGTACTATATCATCTAAAAGTTGTTTATTTACACTGCAGATTAAGCAATCATCTACATATATTGCAAGTAATATGTAAGCCTGTTTACATTTCATTGTATAGACACATGAATCTGATATGCTAGGTTTGAGATCAAACTTAATTAAAAACTCATGAAATTTCTTGTTCCACATTCTGGGGGATTGCTTAAGACCATAGATGCTTTTCTGAAGAGAGCAAACATGATTTGGAAAATCTGGGTTTTCATAACCTTGGGGTTGTTCCATGTAAAGTTCTTCTTCCAAATCACCATTCAAGAAGGCAGATTTTACATCTAATTGAATCATTTCCATATCAAATAATGCACAAAGTGATAAGATTGTTCTAATTGAATCAAATTTTACTACTGGAGAAAAAGTTTCACCATAATCAATTCCTGGTTTTTGTGAATAACCTTTCGCAACTAGTCTAGCCTTAAACATTTTATTTGATCCATCTGCATTTTGCTTTATTTTGTATACCCACTTGCATGCAATAGCTTTTCTGTCTGATGGTAGTGTCACATACGTCCATGTTTGATTTTTCATCAAGGAATTGAATTCATCGTCCATAGCTAGTTTCCACTGTTTTGAGTTTTGTCCTACAATTGCATCTTCATATTTCATATGCTTGTTATGTCCATGACCAAGAACCATTGAACTATGAAGATGCAATTGTAGGACAAAACTCAAAACAGTGGAAACTAGCTATGGACGATGAATTCAATTCCTTGATGAAAAATCAAACATGGACGTATGTGACACTACCATCAGACAGAAGAGCTATTGCATGCAAGTGGGTATACAAAATAAAGCAAAATGCAGATGGATCAAATAAAATGTTTAAGGCTAGACTAGTTGCGAAAGGTTATTCACAAAAACCAGGACTTGATTATGGTGAAACTTTTTCTCCAGTAGTAAAATTTGATTCAATTAGAACAATCTTATCACTTTGTGCATTATTTGATATGGAAATGATTCAATTAGATGTAAAATCTGCCTTCTTGAATGGTGATTTGGAAGAAGAACTTTACATGGAACAACCCCAAGGTTATGAAAACCCGGATTTTCCAAATCATGTTTGCTCTCTTCAGAAAAGCATCTATGGTCTTAAGCAATCCCCCAGAATGTGGAACAAGAAATTTCATGAGTTTTTAATTAAGTTTGATCTCAAACCTAGCATATCAGATTCATGTGTCTATACAATGAAATGTAAACAGGCTCACATATTACTTGCAATATATGTAGATGATTGCTTAATCTGCAGTGTAAATAAACAACTTTTAGATGATATAGTACAGTACTTAAATTCCAATTTTGAAATAAAAACTTTTACTGCCGATTATTTCCTTGGCCTACAAATATATCGAGATAGAACAACTAAAATGTTATTTCTGCATCAAGCCTCATACATTGAAAGAACACTTGAACATTAC